GACGGACGACGGACGACGACGGACGAAAACGGATAGCAATAGGTCACTTGAGCTAAAGCTCAGGTGACCTAAAAACTTGATAGCCCTTCATCCAAGCATGCTACTGGCCAAATATCAATATTTTTGGCATTTGGTTATTCAAAAGAAGATATTTAAAGATTTAAAACATATTTGACCCCTGTGAACTTGAATATAAAGGTCAAGGTAATTCATTTTGAAGACTTTGTAGTCTTTCATCAAAGCATGCTACTGGCCAATGACCAACATTCTGGGCATTATGGTTTTTCAGAAAAAGTCTTTTAAAAGATTTTTGAAGATAATTGACCCGAGCGACCTTGAATATAAGTCAAGGTAATTGATTTGGACAAACTTGGTAGCCCTTCATCCCAACATGTCTCGGGTAAAATATTTTTTTTGTTAAAATATGTTTTTAACATATTTGACCCCGGTGACCTTGAATATAAGTCAAGGTCATCAATTTGAACAAACTTGGTAGCCCTTCATCCCAGCATGCTACTGGCCAAATATTATTACCCTGGGCCTTTTGATTTTCACATATTTGACCCTGTGACCTTGAATATAAGTCAAGGTAATCAATTTGTACAAACTTGATAGGGGTCATCCCATTATGCTACTGGCCAAATATTATTATCCTGGGCCTTTTGATTATTCAAAAGAAGTTGTTTTATATATTTTTACATATTTGATCCTTGTGAGCTTGAATACAGGTCAAGGTCATTCATTTGAACAATCTTGGTAGCCCTTCATGCCAGGATGTTACTTGCCAAATATTCTCACCCTTAGCCTTTTCAGAAAAAAGTTTTTTGAATTGTATTTCAGATAATTGACCCATGGGACCTTCAATATAAATCAAAGTCATTGATTTGAACAAACTTGATAGCCCTTCATCCTATTATGTTACTAACTAAATATCCTTATTCTCGGTTTTTGGTTATTCAGAAGAAGCCTACTAGTTATTGAGAAGAAGTTGTTCAAAGATTTTAACATACATTGTATTTGACCCCTGTGACCTTGAAAATGGTTGAAGGTCATTTGTTTGAACAAACTTGGTAGTCCTTCATTCCATCATGCTACTGGCCAAACACCTTCACCCTATGCATCTGGGTTATTAAGAAAAAGTTGTTTTAAGTAAAAAGTTGACACCGGATGGATGAAGGACAAACAACGGACGTCGCACCACAGCATAAGGGCCAGGTGAGCTAATAATCTGATGATTTACCTGATAACGACTCTGGAAGAGGTGGAAAGGAACTCTCGTTTAACCACTGGGACATTGTCCAGGCTGTCGCAAAATCGTTCCTCAGGGTACATTCCAGGGATGGCAAAACCATTGAAGAACAGGAGGAATGCATCTGTACAGGAACCTGGTAAGAAAAAATCTGCAGAGTCAATGGCTGGGCTGTGCTTCCCACCTGAATCCATACACACGAGGTCAAGGTCTACTAGACCCATCTTGTAATCACCTGCTTATTTTAATCTAAACATTGAAGTTGTAAATTTTATGAAAACCACCAAATACGGCCAACAAACATCATTTCTTTACTCCTCTGAGCCAATCAGAAACACCTTAATCATGCAAATGCTAAATTAGTTAAAAGGCTTACTCAGTATACATCTCATCCAGTGTACATCAGTATATATAGTCACTACACTAAATACAGGACTTGTTTATCACTGAAGTGAGTAGGAGAACATTGGCAGGAGGATGTTTACACTATCTGCACGACTGCTGATCGTACACTCCACAGTAACATCTCGCTATAGTAAAACTGATGTTCACAGAAAAGGAAAATTTGGTTGAAATTTTCTACAAGTGACTCTAGATAAAGGATGTTATGTTCATTCGTAAGTCACAGACAATATAATGCATAGGTTTTTATGTTTAAGTTTGAGGTTAGTGATAAGGTGGCCAAGAGGTAGAGCTTGTAGTCTGAACTGACATGGCCAAGATGTAGAGCTTGTAGTCTGACCTGACGTGGCCAAGATGAAGTGCTTGTAGTCTGAACTGACGAGGCCAAGATGTAGAGCTTGAAGTCTGAACTGACGTGGCCCAGATGTAGAGCTTGAAGTCTGAACTGACGTGGCCAAGATGTAGAGCTTGTAGTCTGAACTGACGTGGCCAAGATGTAGCCCTTGTAGTCTGAACTGACGTGGCCAAGATGTAGAGCTTGTAGTCTGAACTGACATGGCCAAGATGTAGCGCTTGTAGTCTGAACTGACGTGGCCAAGATGTAGAGCTTGTAGTCTGAACTGACGTGGCCAAGATGTAGAGCTTGTAGTTTGAAACGACATCTCTCACCACATCTACACACAGAGCAGGCTGAGTTTTATTTCTGACATATATGGGTTGATGATCGATGTATTATAGGTTAAGAGAAAAGTAGTTGATAAACTGGCAATATGATTTTGGAAATCTCAGCAGTAATTATATCACCAGGTGCCAGGGCAGTTTACTTTTTTCTTTGCTTTTTGTAGACAATTTGATATCTCAGGAAACTTTTAGTGCTTGTCACATTAAAAAATGGTATATTGTCTTGTAGGTCTTGGAGGCAATATGCTTTAGGTCATTGGAGTGTATTGATAAACGGAAACAGGAAGTACATCCCTAGTTGAAAATCCAATGTAGGGAGACAGTATCACAATTTCCGCAAATTCCAATGTTTAATATTAAACTGATGAATATTGTATGTTTATTATTGACAGAACAGTGTGTTCTCTCAATATTAAAGTATTTCAAAGCAATCCAGGCATTAATTCAGTTTTTTTATCAATGAGTCACATGTGTCCATTTTTCTGTACTTCAGGAAACCGGCTACCTATTTCACTACTGTGAAGTTTTTCAAGAACGATAACTCTTACCTGCAATTACTATGTGTATATGGTTTTATTATAAAATGTCAATTTTTATATCGTGTATAGAGAATTAATTTTACACAATTTCAGCATTTATTAAATTGATATACATTAATGCAATACTAATATATGTCAGTATCATTTTTATTGACATTATTTTGTAAAAATATTGTGTCTTTCATTTTTTTTT